CACACACACACCCACACACACACACACACACACACACACACACTTTGAACGGCATCTCTGGCCTGCAACCCAAACAGGTGTCATTGGCTATTATTTCTCACATCCGGTCATGCCCAGGGTTTGCTCTCCCCCTCCACCCCCCATTTCTGTATTACCTGCCTGCGAGCAGTGTGACATTCGAGTCCCCTGGTCAGCTTCACCGAGAGCCGAAAGGCAGCGGGTCATCACAGACCCCTGGGACTAGGAGAGAAGGCAAAACTCCGGGCCAGACAATAGCCAGGGGGAGGGGGAGGAGAGAGCTAGAGAGAGTTTTTGTGTGTGTCTGAACGTGTGTCTCTCTGTGTGTGCGCGTGTTTGGGTCTATGTGTGTCTGTGTCTCTGTGTGTGTGTGTCTGTGAGTTGGTGTGTTATTTCTTTCTCCGCCTGCGCCTCTCTGCTTCTGTTGTTGCAGCTTAGCCACACACCCCAGTTTGTCTCCCCTCCCTGTCTGACCTGACCCGGGTTTCCCTTCTTTCCCCCCTGGGGCGCAGTGAAAGAAGAAGGGGACCGAGAAATCTCCAGCTCGCGGGACAGCCCGCCGGTGAGGCTGAAGAAGCCACGGAAGGCCCGCACCGCTTTCACCGACCACCAGCTCGCCCAGCTGGAGCGGAGCTTCGAGCGGCAGAAATACCTGAGCGTGCAGGACCGGATGGAGCTGGCGGCTTCCCTCAACCTCACCGACACGCAGGTGAAAACCTGGTACCAGAACAGAAGGTAAACACACTGCAGCGCCCCCTCCCTGTCCCTTCCCCCGGGCCGCAGCATCTTTGCGTCCGCAGCGAGGCAACCGGCCGGCCCAGACCCAACCAACTTCCTACAGGCTCCCGATCGGGAAGTTTTTTTTTGGGGGGGGGGGAAATACAGCTGGGAACCCCGGACTAGAGCAGCCCCGAGCCAGCGGTGCTGAGCGAGGCCCGCAGCGCGGCGTGGGAAAGATGCTTACAAGGGCGGCGAGGCCCGGGTGTGAAAGATGCGGGCTGAGGGCGGGAGCGATCAGCAGAGATTTGCTGCGCTGCGGACGCAGCCGGGCGCCCTCGCTTTGGCTGGCTTCGAACTAGCAACCTGCAGCTGCCAAGGGCTCCTCAGCACGTGCTCCTCCCGAAGTGTAACCCGAGGGTAACCCGAATGCACACGCGCAGGATCGGGCCCCAGACAGACCCAGCAGCAGAAGCGGAGCGCAGGGGAAGCGGGGCGGGGGGGCGCCGTCTGGCCAGTGAAGCGTGGAGGAAGCAATGAAACCCTAAGGAAAAAAGCGAACCGTACGCTGCTGCCAGCGGGGCGAATAACCGAAGGGAGGTGGAAGGGGGTGACCCTACCCGACTTTGCATCAAAGCAGAACCCCCCCCCCCATCAGATCGCGGGAGAAGCGGGAGGAAAACACGAAGGAGGCTGCACAGGGCGAGAGGAAGCAACACGTGCCGCCCTAGGCCCAGTTTGATCTCCAAGTGCTGGAACCCTCCCCCCCCCACACACACACACAAATCCCCCGCAGCCATTGCCTCCTGCCCCTCCCCCCATTTATCCTTGTCCCGCTCCTGGTCTCTGCCCCCCATGCAGGGAGCCAAAGCCACCCCCCTCCCCGCACCGTTAAGGGAAAAAGTCAAAAAAATGTGCGTTCAGCTAAACACAACAGCATAACACCCCGGCCCATCAATAATAAATACCCGGCATCAATAATTAACGCCCGTTCCAGTAATTACACAATTATTATTATGATGAATAATTTAGGGCTGGAAATAGGTCTAGCGCGTCCGCGACAAAACTGTAGAAGGCTGGAGACGCCGGGCCGGCTCTGCGCGTTGATTTTAGAATAATCCGCATCGGAACAAAACGAGCCGCCCGCCGGGTTTTCAGTAGCCCAAGAGCCCCGGGAAGTTCGTCCCTCCTGCCCCCCTCTGGGGCTTGAGGGGCGAGTTTTCTTGGAAGTTTCTTACTTGAAAAAAGGAAACAAAATCATAAAATCTCCCCAGTGTGATGCCCTTTGGAAGAGTTTATTACCCCTAGTTCCAGAAAGCGGTGTCGGCTTTCCCCAGGGTCGTGGTTTTTCGTTGCCAGTTGAAAAGCAAGCACAGCATTTGCTTTATTTTTGGAAGGGGGGGGAGGGGAGGCCAAGCACAAATGTTGCGAGCATTGCATCAGGGACCGACCTCTTCCATTCTGAGGGGACCAAATTTGTTTCGGGAACTTCAAAGTTTCTTTTCCCCGTGGAGGGTTGTGGTTATTTGTTTTTCAATTTGATTTCAACCCAAGTCCTAAGACTCCTATCACAAAATGCAGGTGCTATTCCTCTCCCCCGAATCCGAAAGCCCTCCCACGAGTCCCACCTTCTTTCTGGCTTCATCTGAAACCTGAGCTTACCAACCCAGTCTGAATTTGGTTTTAAGTGTTTTTCAGAGGCTCGCGTGAAAGTTTTTTTTCATAACACCGCGCACAACGGATTAGAAATTAACCAATTTGCAAACGGATGCTAGCGCAGAAAGCGCCCAGCTATTTCTGCACTAGTGTATCTGATCTGACGTTAGTATGTGATCATCATGCAGGATTACATTAGCTAGACAGATCGACCCAGAGATCGATCATCACCTGCCTTAGCTGGAAAATTAGAGGTGGCTGTTTCCAATCGCCATATACCCACGTGGGTGCGGTGACATGGTATCATGTTTAGTCAGATGCAAAGTGGGTCTTTGCCCACGAATTCTTATGCTCTAATAAGCCTGTTAGCCTATAAGGTGCCACAGGACTTCTTATTGTTTATGCAGATTCAGACTAACATGGCTACCCCTTTGATACTTGGTATCCTGTTTGGGGATCACATCTTGCCACGCGCACACAAAATAGCAGATAATGTGTCTGATCCCAGCTGCAATAATATATATTTTTTCCAGCTCAGGAAAACGCTGGAAAATCCATCTGACGCATTGCCTGCTTGTGCCTCGCCAGAATATAGCTCTTCTGATCACACCACACACGATAAAACACACCCGTGCTCCTGCAGCGTAGTTCGCATGACACTGATGACTTACTACTCTAGTATTGCTCCTTGGCCAGGCATGCATCGAGGGCAATTAATACCCTTGTCAGTTTCCCCCGGAGCAGGTGCGCGCGCCGCGGTTCTACTCCAGCTGGGACTGCAGGCGCCCGGTGCCTGGATTTCCCGGGGCGCGGCGGCTCGGAGTTGCACAGGAAAATAGCAGGAGGGGTGTTTCCACCTCGGCTCTCTCGTGACCCGCGTGTGTTGGTTTCCCTCCCCAGGACCAAGTGGAAGAGGCAGACAGCGGTGGGACTGGAGCTCCTGGCAGAAGCTGGGAATTATTCGGCTCTCCAGCGAATGTTTCCGTCTCCCTATTTCTACCCGCAGAGCTTGGTTTCCAACCTGGACCCGGGCGCGGCCCTCTATCTGTACCGGGGTCCCAGCGCCCCTCCCCCGGCTCTGCAGAGACCTTTAGTGCCCAGGATCCTCATTCACGGACTGCAGGGGGGCAGCGAGCCGCCCCCGCCTTTGCCCCCGCTGGCAGGCGTCCTTCCGCGAGCGGCGCAACCGCGGTGAAGCGCAAACTCCGCAGCCAAGGAAGCCAGGATGCCCCATCTGCTCCCCTGCCTACACCGCCCTGACCATCCGAAACTGTACCCCGAGCCTAAGGAAGGGGGAGGGGGAGAGGCGGACTAGACCCTTGGCATTTGGACACCCACTTAGCCACACCACAAAACCATCATTCACCCTAAGGAAGCAAGAGACACTTTGGAAAGGAAAAAACAAAACGAACTCAAATCTTGCGCGCCCTCGCTGCAGTTACGCGCTTAAATCCTGCGCGCCTTCGCTATCATTTTGCGCGCGCTCTCTCGGGTTAGTGGTCAGCGATACCTAACCTGGAAAGGGGTGGGAGATCGCCTTCCTGGAAATGGAGAAAGGGAGCCTAACAAACAAAAATACAAACTTAATGGAAAGCATCGCTGTTCAAAACTGGGAGGTGGGGGGCGGGGGGACGGACACAAAGGATCTATTAAGAAACAGCCCAATAGACACGGTTTTGTGATCGCCCACCCCACAGACACAGAAACTATCTTTGCCTACTTCCGAAAATCTTTCAATATTGGTAAATATTCTCCTCCAAAACATTGAGGGACAAATTTTACCCTCTCCGCAGTCTACATTTCTCCCTTCCCCCTCCCGCACAACGATTCTTCGGCATTTATTCTCTTGTTGCCCATTCAGGCCTTTTTGCCCCTTTCCTCCGCTTTCTAGCCCTAAAGTTTGAACCCCCCCCCCAACACACACACAAAAGGAGATTTCAGGACAGAGGAAACACCGTAAGAGCGAATAAAGTCAGAATTGCCACGTTGCAGAATGAAAAAGTTTCTCCTCCAGTCGGAGTAAGAGAAAAACTGAATTCATCTGATGGTAAAAGATCTATTTAAAAAATGTGTTACACTTTAAAGGGTCCATGGCAACAAAACGCTGTCCGAGTATTCTCTGCGTGGGTTTTGTTTCCACTCCCAGAATTTATCGCGTTTCCACGCTAGGGCGGCTCGAAGATTCGTTTCATCAACAGGACTAGCTCCCTGCTAACTCCAGGCAGCCCCTTTTTACCCTGTGCTCGTCGCTTAACCATCAATGAGCCCAATGTCTGGGACGGGAGGTGGCTTATGCACGGACCGAGGATCGTTCGCTATACATGGCTCTGGTTATTATTTTTAATGAACATAAAAGCGGCCCACCCGTGCGTCTGTCACAAGCACATCCTGGAAAATAGGGCTTCCCTCCTGCTCAGGACGCAGCTGAGTTTTGGCCTGAGCAAGGACTGGAGGAGGAAGCAAAGGTAAATTGCAAATTACTAGCTCCCCGAGCATGGCTTCTCATTTTTGCGCGTTGGTTCCAGGCTCTGTTCTGCGCTCTCTCTCTTGCTTTCTGGTCACTCCCCGCCCCTTGTAAGTAACACTTCTCAGTGTGCAGGAATTGGGCAGCGGGGTGGGCAGGATGGGCCGACACGAAACATGCAACATCGGTCCCTTAATTTGATCCATAATGAACCATCCACAGGTCCCCGACCCGTGGGATTGCAGCGGAGTCTTTTTAGGCTAAGCCAAGAGTTCTGAAAAAGTATGTAACTAAAGGGGGGGGGGGGGATTTGTAAATACGCGTGTGCAAAATGTATATGAATTATTTATTTGTGAACCCCGAGGACGTATTTGTGTAAGTGATTCTTGTAAGTCTGTATCCCGGATTCTCCCGTCTGGACTTTGCAAGGGAAAGAAGCGAAGGAGAATTCTGCTTTAAAGAGAGCAGAACAAACAACAAACAAATCCCAACTGCTGGCTCTCTCGCTCTTTTTTAAATGTGGAAATAAACTTCTTTACAAACGCGCCGCTCCAGTCCTTGGCCGGCTTTTTATGCTGTTTACTCTGGCGGATCAAAGAAGCCAAAGAGGAGGGAAAAGAATTGGGGGAGGGGAAGGGGAGAAAGAAAAAAGTTTCCCCGAATCTCACCCACAGGCAGACAGATTTTGGCCACTCAAAGAGGGGACCTGATTCTGCTGGGTTGCAGCGCCCCCTGCTCAAGAGAAGACGCGGCTGGTTTACACCGTGCTAGCATAAGGAGACTCCTCCTGGATTGCAAGGGGGCAGTCCTGCTTTCCACCTATGAGAGGAGCTTCTCCTCACTCCGGAGTCACTCCTGATTTAAACTCCAGCAGAGTCAGCCCCAGAGAAACAGGAGACCCAAACGGGAGGTCCTCCTCACTCCGGAGTCACTCCTGATTTAAACTCCAGCAGAGTCAGCCCCAGAGAAACAGGAGACCCAAACGGGAGGTCCTCCTCACTCCGGAGTCACTCCTGATTTAAACTCCAGCAGAGTCAGCCCCAGAGAAACAGGAGACCCAAACGGGAGGTCCTCCTCACTCCGGAGTCACTCCTGATTTAAACTCCAGCAGAGTCAGCCCCAGAGAAACAGGAGACCCAAACGGGAGGTCCTCCTCACTCCGGAGTCACTCCTGATTTAAACTCCAGCAGAGTCAGCCCCATGCAGGAGACGAGCAGCGCCACAGTGCTGGCATGTGGGGGGCAGAGCTGGCAGCCCCCGCGGATCCTAGACAGCCCCATTGTCCCTGCCCCTTCTCACACCTTGCGGGCTGGTGGGTGGAGCCGGCCGGGCGCAGCCGCGGCCCTGGTGAATTATTAACGCTAATCTGAAGTGTGTAATTGCCTAAGTGCTTTAAATGATCGCTTTGGAAAATGGATTGTTTCCACCCTTTAAAAGTGTCGCTCAGCGGGCTCCAGCCAGCTGGCCCAGCAGCTGGTCACCGGGACAGCCTGCGAGCGGCTACCCGGCCCGCGGGCCCGGCA